AAGGAAGCTTCACAACGTAGGGCCTTTCTTAAGAATCTGAACAAAGAATTCTTCCCCCACGCAACCACTGACTGGAGAGCTCACAGAAGGAATGAGCTGGCTGTCCCAGGGGTGGGTAGAATGCCTATGCTGTGTGTTACAACGGAGTGAGGAAGCCCATGTGAGGGCGGGAAAAGAGCTCAAACTAGAGAGGAAGAAAGCCTGCCAGCAGAGAGGCAAGCAGAAGCTGTGGGCCTGCTGAGGTCATGCCAGCCTTAAGAAAGTGACAGAGGAAGAGGAACTGGTTGCCTAAATTCCTGACAGCTTTCTTGCTTTGGACCCAGGTCCGTTGCATCCTGACCGAGGAGGGAGCAGCTTGCTCACAGATGGAGCAGGATTTTAAAACATGCCACTTTCAGAGCTCCCTGAGCTCCCCCAATGTCTGTGTGAGAAGAGGGAAAACATACTGTCTGGCCTAGCTGTAAGGATGAGCGCATTTCCCTTTCCTACTGTAAGGATGGGATGGACGCGCACGTCTACACAAGATGCCTAGACTGACAAGGGCTGGATTAGGGTCTTTTAGTATCTGCTGCATCCAGTCTGTTTTTACGCTGTCCAAACTGGCCTATCTTTGCCGGCCAGGTAGACTTGCTTTTCTCTGACCAGGCAAAGACAGAAAGTAAACATAAGACCTGATGCCCACTGCTTGGCAAAAACTAACAAACACCAACCCCCTGTGCTCTAAATTACACAAATGTGAAGTTAGCAGGTGCTAGCCTTGGTTGCTGACCTAGAGTACCACCAGCTTAGAGCCCGTCATTATACTTTGGACAAGACTGACTCACGGATCCAAAACGGTGTCTGTCCCTCACAAAGCTTAACTAAGACTTCCTGGATGCTAACGACAGGAGTACAACCTGGCAGCCCCTGCTTATTGTGCAGTCCTGGGAGAAAAACACACCAGAACCAGGCAACTCCAGTAAAGCTCTGAGTGAGGAACAAGACTGGCAAGATGGGTGTGAAAACCGAGAGACCCTTAGTGCATACAATGAGAACTTCAATGCAAGATTCCACTTTTGAAAAATTGGTTTTATTTACCAAAGCATTAGATTTCAGAAGTCCAGAGGTTTGGTTAACCCCAAAGGCCTGGGAGTTTAAAACCAAACAAACAAAAAACCAAAAATCAGTCTAAGCTCTTAAGATGCAAAAGCAACCCCAGTTTGACTTTTAAAAACTACGTATTTGAATATCTTTGGGCTTTTACCCATTTTGCATGACTTTTAAATTATGAAACTATGGTTTTTGCTGACAAAATACAAGTGTTTTATGTAGAAAAATTAGCTCCTGAATCCAAAAGTCAAATAAAAGCCTCTATACTATGAGATATCTTCCGTTCTAAAATTTGATAACAACCCAGGGCAATGAAGGAAGCAGGGGCTCTTAGAATGTCTCCATACACTGCAGGCATCAAGCAGGCCTTTAAAAATGATCGACATTGAATGACCCTGATTGCAGCAGTTGACAGTTTTAGGGGCTGAGTCTCAAGGAAGGACCAGAAGCTAAGGCAGGAGGTGGGATGATGGGTGAAGGCAGGAGAATGTGGTCCTTTGTCTTAGAGTAGGTATTGTCAGAGAACCCAAGAAGAAATTCCCTCTTTCTCTTTTCCCTCTAAGGCATTGTCAAAGATAGCTTTTTCCTGCTTGATGTTCATCCAACAGCAGAGACTAACACCAGGGAATTAACTCATTATTAGAAGTGATGATACTGGAAGAACTCGTTGATAAATAGCTTAATCAGGATTGGAAGCAAGAAAAAGGCTTCGGGAGGGTGTGGAAGAGGGGTGAAGAAGAGAGAAGGGAGCAGGCATCCATGCTTTAAGGTTCCACTTGTTTAGGCCAACTCTCAAAACAGTATTCCAATACTGCCAGGGCAAAAGTAGGCAAGCCTCATGCTTGACTACACCTTAGAGTCACCTGATGCCCAGGCTGCACCTGATGCCAGTTCTAGCAGAAGCCCTGAGATGGACCCATCCAGGAACTATTTTATTATTGTTTTCTATTTCCCCCAAATGATCCTATGTATAACTAGGATTGAAACTTGGCATCTGAAAGAAAGACGTTTTAGACAAGAAAGAAAGAAAGAAAGAAAGAAAGAAAGAAAGAAAGAAAGAAAGAAGAAAGGAAGGAAGAAAGAAAAAAGAAGGAAAAGAAAAAAAAGCCTGGCTATCTTTCAGCATGCAGATTCAGATTAAGTAGGTCTCTCTGGAAGGGACTAAGTTTAGCAGCAAAGGCTGGGTCTAGGACAGCTTCATAGGACCTTTCTCTAGATACTGCCTCTGAGCATGCCCAGAGTTTCTGGCAAGGGTCTGGAGTTGTGCTACTATAGCACCAGACCTAAGGACTATTGTCAAAAAGAGACTAATCTTCTTATTCTGCTCCTGAGCTGACTTGGGCATCCCAGCCTGTTCAGAGGCTGCGGCTGTCATAGGAAATGCTCTGCCTATCCATGAGGGACCAGCTCATTCTTTATCCTCATGATTCAAAGAAAGGTGATGTCACAGTTCTTAGAGACCTGTCTTAGTTTGGGTTTCTATTGCTGTGAAGAGAGACACCACGATCACAGCAACTCTTATAAAGGAAAACATTTAATGGAGGCTGGGTTACAGCTTCAGAGGTTTAGTCCATTACTGTCATGGCAAGGAATAGAGTGATGTGTAGTCAAGCACATGCTAGACAAGGAGCTAAAAGTTCTACATCTTGATCTGCAGGCAGAAGGAGACTGACACACTAGGCCTAGCTTGAACATATAAAACCTCAAACACTGCCCTCATAGTAACTCACTTCCTCCAGCAAGGCCACACCCACTCCAACAAGGCCACACCTCCTAATTATAGGGCAACTTCTTATGGGTCGAGCATTCAAACATGTGAGCCAATAGGCCATACCCATTCAAATCTCCACAAAACCCAAAGCTTAGTTCTGAAAGCTGGGAAAACAGCCTCCTGGAAGAAGTTCACTCTCCCTACCTGAGCACCAACATGCTGGGAGGTAGGGGACGAATGCACTGAAAGCTGCCACTTCCTCATATCCATTATAAGGACAGGGGAAAACCAGATTCCCTGAAGATAAATAGATGCCCCTGTCACTGCCACATGGCGCATGTGCGTACACGCACATCGAAAGTTCTTACTGTTATTCACCCGCATGCAGCTTTAATTCCAGACTTTAAAAACTCGAGACACAGTTATGCTTGTTAATCTACTTTCACCAACTAAACTACTATTCACTTGTCTCAAGATCATTGGGAGGGTTAATCTTTTAATCTTTTTAGAAATCAATCAAGATCATCAACAGCTCCAATTCTGTTTGGCCCCAAAGCAGAAGACAACATGCTTTTCCACTCAGAGGAAGAGTCTGAAGACGAGCCGGGCGGTGGTGGCATACGCTTTTAATCCCAGCACTCGGGAGGCAGAGGCAGGCGTATCTCTGTGAGTTCGAGACCAGCCTGGTCTACAGAGCTAGTTCCAGGACAGGCTCCAAAGCCACAGAGAAACCCTGTCTCGAAAAACAAAACAAACAAAAACAAAAAAGTCTGAAGATGAGATCTTACAACCTGAACTTTTTCCAAGGGAATCTTCAAAATCAGAACAGAAACACTGCCAACGCTTCCTGAACACACTGGGTAGCAAAGACCGTATCCGGCAAAGAAAACAGTCAGTTTTGGTGACCAACAGAGTTAGGTAGCTGGAGTGGAGCCAGATGCACAGAAGTGTGCTCTTTTCAAACTAGAACGTGGCTTTGGGTAGAAATGAGGTTGAGTTCAAGATCATGGAGACGACTCATTGGGTAAGGGTACTTGACTCCAAGCCTGAGGGTTTGGATTCCATCACCAAGTCCGTGCAAACTGGCCTCTGACTTCTCCGTGCACGCCGAGGTTTGCCTGTGTGTGCACATACACAAATAAACAAACCGGGCGGAGGGTGTCAAGGGATGCATGACCCCAGAGCACTGGAAAGGCGCAGGGGTTCTGTGCCTGGGAGCGGTGGGGGTGCAGTTCGCTTCAGCAAGCGCTATCTTGAATCTGGTCATTCTCACGTCCTCCCTGTCTAGTTTCCCAACTCCTGTGCAGCCTTCACAGGTTGAGAATTATAAAAACAACCCTTGGAAACTGGACACATCGGCTGGACTAAAAGACAAAAGTTCTCCAGTTCTTAGGATATTTAAATTATGACTTAATCCCCCTCATGTCTCCACACAATATCCCACACCAGCGTTCCACATTAACCACTGAGATTTGAGAGACAAAGTTAAGCCATTAGTCCTCCATCACGCAGTACAGCTTGGGCAACATCAGGCCTCAGTGAAGTTCCTGGTTTCTGCCTGTCCTCCGAGGACACAACGCAGAAGCAATACTGACTCTAGACTTTCCAGATGGTAGATACACACACAGCCAGGCCAAGGTCTCATTAACACCTCCATGGGTTTTCACAGTCAGGGAAACGTGAATCCCAGGTCCTCTTACCAGCAAGCCCGCTAAGAAATCTCTATTTCAGAAGCAGGAGTGAGTGCCTGCCAGTGCTTCCAAGCCCTGTACTAAGGCCAGTCCCTGAAGTGAGGGAACCACACCCTTCTGAGGGACCACAGTCATGCCAAAGACCGGTTAGCCCAAGACCTAAATTAGCCCAAGAACCAAAGCCAACACCGGTACCGCCTGGCGCCGCACAGCGGAGAGCGAGTCCAGGGGAACTCGCATAAACCGCGCCGCTCTGCACCCGCGCAGGAGATAGGCGCACCCACTTGGGCGCACCCACCGGCCGCCTGCCCCTCAGCCGAGGGACACCAAGCTTCTGCAGCTCAGCTGGAGGTGGCGATGTGAAGACAGCAGCTTTCGCCCTTGCTCTCAGCACCCCTCCTCCCACGGTTGCCCCGCGGGCTTCCAGGGATGATAACCACACAGTGACTGCCACCTGCCCGTGGCTAGCCCTTCCTGGACCACCCCAGGCCATCCCGCGCCACCCTTACCTGAACCGGAGATGTGGACCCGGAGCGGGCGGCCCCTGCTCGAGGCGGACGACAGGTCGCTCTGGGAGCGGCCGCGGGGACTTGGGTCCCCGGGTAGCCAGCGCAGGGCAGGAGCGGCCGGGCCGGGAGCCTCGGGCTCGGGGTCCAGATCCACCGCTGCCACCGCCTCCTGGCCGGCTGGCTGGTCCGGGGACATCTCAGGGCTCCCATCGGCTTCCGCCATCGGCCCTAGGCGCCGGGAGGGAGCGAGCTCAGGCAGGGTGGGGCCGGCGCAGAGGGCTGAGCAGTCCGCTGCGGCCCCGCGTGGAGCCCCCGGCCGGCTGGCAGGGCGGGGAGGCGGCCGCAAGCAGCGGTGCGCAGCGCGGGAGGAGGAAGAACACAGAAAAGTTTGCACAGGAAGGAGCCGCCTACAGCCGGCTCTCGCTCCCGCCGGTGACAGACACGGGGCCCCCCAAGCCTGCTGCCCTCAGTGCCCGGGAACCTGCCCGGCTGCTCCACCCCCAGGCGCGGCCCCTCCACCGGAAGGCTGGGGTCTGCAGCCGCTGGCCCAGCAAGGCTCTCCCAGCCCGGTCACAGAGAAGTGAAGTTTAAGCTGCAGAGCTGAGGTGCAAGCTCAGGGTTAACATTAACAGTACCATTTGCAGTCAGTCGGGGCGGGGCGAGGACACGCGTGCACACACCTGACGGCTTGTGATAGGACAAGGACCCAGTGACCGTCATCTGTAATTTACAGGTGCGAGATACTGGCGCCAAAGGGCACTGGGTTTGCCCGGGGATTCCTGGCAGAGCTGGAGTCCCTTGTCAAGTCTGCTCCTTTGATCCTCCCTCTACTACCTCCTGCCCTTGTCAAAGCTCATCTCGGCCTCTCACAGCCCCACATTCCTGGGCTTCCGTCTGTGCTGGGTCACAGGCAAAGGTCGCGGTTTTTTAAAAGCTCGGTCTTCTGAGGGCTGAATTCGTGTCACAGATGTGGTGTCTGAGTCGATGCTTTCCAATGGGAGAGCAGCTGAGATGACTGGCAGTGGGTGCCTCCGTCTACAGCAAAGGGAGCAGTGATTTTGCTCATTGGAATCCCAGCCTTATCAGTTTCACAGTCAGGTCCCCAAGTAGTGGCTGGCCCAGAACTGAAAAGCTGTAAACCAGAGCTGGGTGGTTCTCTAAGTTTCTGGCAGTGGAGGAGTGTTTCTGGGCTTCACAAATGGACCATAAAAGCAGGAAGAGAAGGAGACTGAGAGGGGAAGGGTGGCCAGAGTCAGCCATTAGGACCACACACGCGTGCGCATGCATACACACCCCCCCCCCCAGGTAATTCATCAGACACTTGGTGCGGAATAGTTCATTTAACAAGAAAAGAAACGCAAGTCTAAGGTAAAAGAGAAACAAAAACTAAGAGAGTAAAGCTAGACAAACGCAAAGACGCCCGAAAGGCCTAGCAACTAGGTCATGGTGCTCACAGTGCGCCCTCAACAACTGAAAAGGGGTTTGTTCTCCCAGCAACTCTGAGTGTTCCTGGGTGGAGTGGGGGCTGGGAGACCTGATTGTCCCAGCTTCTCTGTGAACGCTGTCCAGATTCAGATCCATCTTCTCAGTCAGCCGACGTCATCTGGCCTCGTCGTAATTATTTTCTGCTAACCGAGTCTGTGAATCTAAGCTACCAGTGCGATGCCTAGGTAGGTAAAGGTGCTGTGGCAAGCTAGAGGCCCTGAGATGGGTTCCTATGACCTACATACCTGAAGAAGAGAGCTGACTCCCCCAGGGTGTCATCCACATGCATATTCATGCCTATTCTGTTCTATTCTTTCTCTCTCTCTCTCTCTCTCTCTCTCTCTCTCTCTCTCTCTCTCTCACACACACACACACACACACACACACATTAAATCTATAGTACTCTAAACTCACTCCACTTTTTTGTCTGGTTCAGGAGAGAAAAGGTCTGTGATCCCAGGAAGGGTAATAATAGTTTGCAGGGACACTTAGATTTTATACTTACCCCCGATAATCACCTTGGGGTGTTTCTAATCATAATTAGTTTAGTCCATAAGGATGTAACCCTGAAAACTTGCGTTACAATGGAGCTTCTCACCAGGTTTGCCATCCATTGTATCCTACGTCTGCTGCTCCTGCTACAATTGTCCTATGTTCTGGTGGTGTGTGTCTTCCTATGGTGTTCTGTCCCCAGCTTGCAAGCCAATCTTCATTCCGAGACATGCATTTCAGCTGCCCAGCTCTGGGACTTCCCACATCTCTCTCCCTTTGCTTGTTCCATGAGTGTGCATAGGTCCTTTAGGCTCTGCCTCTGCATGCTTTGGTTAATCCTCTGTGTCATCTCTTGTTAAGCTAAATGGCTAATCAAATGCTTTAGGACCCAATAAGTCTTCCCTGACTCATCATTCAGCTGTTTAGCAAAGAATTCATCACTTCGGCTTTTATTTGACAAATGTTGTTGAGTACCTGTTATGGGCCAAGCCCTGTGCTAACACTGCTCGCCCTATATTCTTTCCCTTAGTTTCCCCTTCATTTATTCCCATACCATTTCCACACCCCTGCTCCCATGTTCTTTATCTTCTGTGCATTCTTTGCTAGCTGCGTCGTGACTTCTAATTCCGCCACTGCATAGACAGCATTGGTAGCCATCGAATCAGAGCACCTAGATGTCGGCGCCACTGTTACTTGATCTGGTTTCAGCATGCTTGAACACTGGCTTCTTTCTGCACTCTGCCTCTCTGGTTTCTAGAACACTCATCTCCCCTGGCATCATTCTAGTCCAGCTTCCTCCCCATCCTTGCCTGCATCTCTTTGTTCCACCTGCACTTCGGTTGAGCTGCCCAGAGTTCTAACAGCAGCCCTTGCCTTTGACAAGCTTTGCTGGGAAATCTTACCCATGGCTTTGAACTATGCAGAGAAGAGCCCGAAATAGCCACGTCCATCCCAGACTTCTCCCTTGGCTCAGGATCCCAACATTCGGTGATCTATTGGCCCTTTTTCCTTTGTTTTTTCCTCCTCCTGCAGCTCACTCTTCTCCTCTTTCTTTATTTCTTTCTTTCTCTCTCTCTTTCTTTCTTTTCTTTTCTATTTCTCCTTCCCCTTTTCTTCCTGTTCCTCCCTTATCTCTTTCTCTTCCTCCTTCTTTTTTTTTTCTTTTTCATGGCATGGGGGTCATAGGTGGTGTTTGTGTGTGTGTGTGTGTGTGTGTGTGTGTGTGTGTGTGTGTACGTGCACATGTTTACAAGTTGGAGGCACACATGTATGGATGTACACATACATGGGTGTAAATGCCTGTACAGATCAGGGGATAGTGCTGAGAAAAATGCTAGATCACTTTTTTACCTCATTTAACAAAGCAGGATCTTTGAGTCACCCAGAGTACTTTGATATGGTTGGTCTCTAGCCAGCCTGCTCTGGGGATGCATATCTCCACCTCCAAAGGCTGGAACTGCAGATGGACTGCTATGCTCACCTAGCGTTCGCGTGGGGTCCAGAAATCTAAACTCTGGTCCTCACACTTGTGTAGCAAAAATTTGAATGTCTTATCCATCCCACATCCCCTTCTTCCTTTGAGACGGAATCTCAGGCAGCCTAGGTTGAGCTCTAACTACCTATGTAGCCAAGGATGATACTCTGACCTCCACAAACTGGGAGCTGGGTTTACGGTCATACGCCACGACAGCTGCTCTATGTGGTGCTGGGAATCAAACCCAGGATGTTCGGTATGCTTGCCAAGCACTGGACCAACTGAGCTACACCCACAGCCGCACTCCGTCCTTGATGTTTCCTCCACACGCCAAACACTGAACTCTCTCTCTCCTGGGCCGTTAACCTGCTCGGTTCATTCCTGACATTTGGAGTCCTCAGACTCGCTCTCCTCCTGCTATTTATTGTACTTCCCCCTCTTTAGCTGGCACCTTCATCTTCCGTGTTCTCTCATGGAAACTCTCAGCACCTATAGCCGCTTTCTTCCGCTCTGTCTCCATCGCGGCCGTAGAGTAATCTTCTAATCTAGCTCGCAGGGTTTTTTTTGCTCCTCCATGTAAATTCTTTCAAGAAGGCTTTGAGTGTAGCTGAGGGAGGCAGCCTGTGTCTAGCACATGTGAGAGCTTAGTGTTAAGACCCAGGATGAAGCAAAAGAAATAAATTCTTCGAAAACAAGAATTCACGACACACAGGTGACTTTTTTGGCCATGCTAACAAGTGTTCTGGAATGCTGCCCTAAACTCTTTTCTTGGAGTTACTCTGGCTATTCTGCTTCCAACTCATTCAGACCTCACTATCGCTCCTGAATGCGACTTGGTGCTTTGTTTTGTTTTTTTTGTTGTGGGAGTAATACCTTTGTTACTCCCATTTTGTTGGACTTCAAGTGTCATCTCCCCTATCTTCTTAATTTTGTCTAACTGGCCATCACTATTCTTCAACCCTCATGACGTGTGTCCCCCTCTGAGCAGCTTTGCTGCCCCTGACCTTCAGGTCATCCACAGTGCCCCTCCTGAGCCACACTGCAAACCCATGCGTATTTCTCTCATTGTCACCTTCACATAAGACTGCACGTTAACAGGGGCACAAATCTGTCTCCCCTTCTGCCGCTGAGCCTTCAGCTCCATAAGGGATGATTCTCACTTTGTTTCCCCAGTACCACTGTGGGTTTGGTGAATCTAGCCCTGAGGTCTTTGGGGATCCAGACATTAACAAATGATTACAGGCAAATGCATGGTAACTGTCAACACTGAGCTATAAATGAAAGGAACATTGACCCCAGGAGAAGCAGATGCCTTGACTCTCAAGGGAGGGTTTTTAGAGGAAGAGCTGTCTAAGATGCCAAGGCACCTAGGACAAGGTGGTAGTGATACAGATGGTTGAGGAACTGAGCTCCTTGGGATGGTGTAATGCCACAAAAGAAGTGCAGAAAGAGAACACATGGTGAAGGCAACCTCCAGGGCTCTTCTGTTCTGAGACATCATAGCTCTAGGAAAATCATTTATGTTCATTTTAAGATTAACGATGACCTGGGTTTTGTGGCACTCCCCTCATATGGTACTTGCCCGAAAATCTAAAAAGCTTGGTCCTTCTTTCTTTCCCTTCCTCCCTTCCATTCTTCTCACTATGAAAACAAACTCAAAGAACCAGGAGCGGTGGCATACACCTTAATCATAACACCCAAAAGGCTGAGACAGGAGGGTTTTGAAAGCTCCAGTCTAACCTGAGTAGATACACTCTGCCTCAAAACCAAACTAAATTGATAATAAATTAGCAGAAGTAGAGTAGAGTGGCAGTTATCAAGGTTTGGGGTGTAGGGTATGCTCAAGGAGAGGCAGGAAACAGTAGGGAGGAGAAGAGGGAGTATACCCAGAACCTTATAGGAGAAGAAGTGCTGAATTATGAACAAAAGGCTGTAGAGCAGGGTTTCCCAACCTGGTTTGCAACCCTTTGTGAGGCCGAGGGACCCTTTCACAGGGGTCCCCTAAGACCATCTGAAATACCAGATATTTACATTGTAATTCATAACAGTAGAAAAATTATAGTTGTAAAATAGCAGTGAAGATAATCTTATGGTTGGGGGAGACCACAACATGAGGAACTGTATGAAAGGGTCACAGCATTAGGAAGGTTGAAAACC